CAAACGACACGTCGGAGTAGCACGAAACTTGGCACACGACCACTAGGGCACGAGAGACTTGTGAAGAAATCGGGGACTCGCGAATCGGGTCCTGGTTTGGGAGTTAGACAACAAACTAGTTTTGAGTACCAAAAGTGTAAGAAGAATCAAGGAGATAATGGCTGATGTTGTCAACTTTTGAGGACCAAAGGATTCACTGGAACACTTTGGAAGTGGAGGGGACTCATCCACAAGTGGACATTCTCAGTGGTAAAGTATGTTAACTTTGAATGATAACAAATTTATAAAAGAATATATTTTGAAGAACTAGAAAGTAATGGAAACATGCATGGACAGTCCAAATTGTATAGAGGCATGAGATGTATAAATGTTGAATTAGTCTAAAAAATATTTCTTTTTCTTCTTATATTTAATAGCTTCAAAAAGCCATTCGAAAGGCTAAATTATTTGTACTATCTTAGAATCCAATCAGTAAAACCTTATGGCTAGAGACCATATAAGTTGTATGACAACTTACGGCACATTAATGGGATGCACCATTGTGAATTAGCTTTAAAATTTAATTTTTTTTTTTTCATAATCTCTGAAAAAGTATGTTAGAGGGATTAATTATTATAATTTGATTAATTGTAAATTGATTGAGTTACTAATTTTTTAATCTTTGTATTAATTAATTAATTACTAAAGCTTTTTAATTTATTTTTGCAGATGGATTGGATGGTGGCGTTTTTTGACGTGCAACAATGATGTAATTGCTTGAATGTTCATTTTGTTTGATAAGGATACACATTACTTTGTGGAGTTGCACTGTTATTGTTTGATGTTTGGAGAATGTAAGTTATAACTTTAGATATTTTGTGGATATTGCACTATTTATGTATTAGGATAAGTGTATTTGTAATGATGATGATATTTGGTCATTTTGTTAATTTGTAAATGTGTTGATAACAGGTTTAGGTTAAGTTGTGAATGGAATTGTTATTTACAGAGTCAACATGAAACAGGTATATTTGTTGAACTAAAATTCGAGTATTTTTGATTAACAATAGGTATAATGTGGAAAAAAATATTTATGGAATTGTTGACAAAATTTTTCATCCCAAAGAAGGTTTTTTCGTCTCTTATTTGGCTTAGTGGAAGATTAATTTTGTCATGAGATTCTTATTTCGTCGCTAAAAATGAATTTGTCATGGACGGAAAAATAGTCATATTTTTGTCACTATTCCCTCAATGTGGACGATTTTTTTTGACATATTTTCATCATTTTTATGATGAATTTGTTTGTCTTTATTGGTACTTCTTTGACAAAAAATTCGTCTTCGTTTATTATTAAAACGTGACAAAATTAGTTCGTCTCTATTTCTTATATTGTATGACAAAATACTTTCGTCTCTAATTTCGTTCTTTAATGATAAAATATTGTCGTAATTACTACAAAGTATGTTTCCAACAGAGTGTATGAGACAAAAAAAATTCATCAATTTATCATTTTTAATAATGAGATTTGTTTTGTTTCTATTTGGTATTTCTTTGACAAAAATTTTCATCCTCGTTTATATTAAAGCGTGACAAAAATATTTCAATCTCTATTCTTCTATATTTTATGACAAAATACTTTTTGCTCTAATTTCTTTCTTTAATGACAAAATATTTTGTCGCTAATTACTTACAAGTATGTTCCCAACAGAGTGTATTGGAGGACAAAAAATTTCGTTCACAAATTTAATCATTATTCACATGACGAATTTGTTTTTTCGTCTCTAAAGACCCTTTAGCGACGACGCTTTGGCAAACAAAATGAGTGACAAAAAATTTTCGCGTAATTAGTTCTGAGTGACGAAATATATTACAATTTTGGGACCAAATTTGTTTCGAATCTTTAAATCCCAAATTTGTTGTAAACATTATTCTATCAACATCGGAACATTAGCAACGTCAGGATATTTATCAAACATCAATGGGTTTCAACCCTTCTCGTTCACAGTGTGTGAAAGCAGGTGCCTACTAAGAGTCCCTTGAGGCATGTATGTCATGAACCAGTAAGCCTCTCTTTCCATCCAAGCAGCAACCCAAGAGAGGAAACCAATTGCCTATGTCGAACCTTAGTAAGCACTGCAATCTCAGACCTTGAATCTCCAACACCCTTTGTCACTCAGCCACTCCAAGACTCCATCCTTCTTATACTGCAATCTTAGTCCATCATGCATCCCCTTTGTGACTTTTTCCAATCCCTCTTCCAATATGTTCCTTCGCTAAAATTGTTGGTCACAGTCTTCAAAACTTGAATGGAGATTACCATTATTTCTAGCTTAATAACATGAATATTCACTAGGTCTACGACTGTCTATTGACGATATGTTTCACCCGTTGTCCGCATCCAGTTGCAAACCCAACCAATCAGGCAATGGTAATCTTAACAGCATTTATGGTTGAACCTGACTGATGAGGGACAAAACCACCATGGCATTTGGACTCTGCACCATACAAGAATGCTTTTGTTATAGCCCTTACAAATGCAGAAACACCACTAACCCCAAAAGCCCAATACTGCACAAATACAACTAATTACCAAAACCCACAACACACCGTCGAACTTATTGCCACTACTTCTTTGAAGTCTTTGTTCCACTAACTGAGGCGTACCGGCAATGGATAACACTAATCTCCAATATCCAGATTTCCCTCAGTTTTACAAGTACATTACTCTGAAAAGATGGAATGTTCCCATAAAGTCGGTTGTTCGAAATCAATTCTCTTAGGTTTAGGCCCAAAGTTGTGAGGCTCATTAGGGATGTACCCGTTAAATTGTTATTAGCAAGTATTAGTCTCTTGCAACGAAGTAATTTGATGAAAAATTGGGGCAATCTTACCACTAAGACCCATTTTTCGAAAATTGAAAATAGTAATGTCTCCATGTAGAACAAGTAGAGACCCTCCCATTGGACACAAGGATCATTTCCCTTTCAACTATCCGCAAACACCGTTTGGTAACCAACAGATTGTGCAACGAAGCAATGTATTTAACCAGAATCCGCAACCAACACCAGGATCGATAAGCAGAAACTATTAGGTCCCAAATTGTCATATCAACTTGCCAACCAAGAATGGAAAATTTTGGGCGGCCTTTGTAACAGATTGTTTGTCAAATTCACAAACTTTAAGGCGAGTGGAAGGTTCACAAGAGACACGGGTACTAATCTGATTCCCGATTGTCCCTTTAACACTGAAATTCTGCAACCCCAGTCTAGCCCCTGAAAGTTCCGGTTTAAAAGGACCTGAAAAGAGAATGAACCAACACTTGGTCAATTGGGTCATGGTCTGATCACCCCAATGAGCCATTGCTTAGAAACCGTGCCCATTCAACCACAGAGACGAATCGATGAACCCGAAAAAGTCCCGGTAATCCACCCTCGGATTGGAGCAAGGTACACAAACCCGCCAAGAATTCGGAATGTTTCCGTTGGCCGCCGGTAGAGAAAACCTGTAGAGGTGTGGAGATTCGGGATTGCCACGGCGAATATGATGATAAACACCTCATTTCGAGAAAGAAGTCCGCGAGGGTAAATATGGAAGAGAAATTGTTGGTTGGAGGAACAAGAATGGATAACTCAACCGGGGACAAACTGACCAGTGAATCTCCTCTTGGCTCACCCTTTATGGGAACCTCATTTTCAGGTTCAGGTGATAAGTAACCTCCAAGGACTTAGCTTGGAAGGAATTGGAGTTGGAGACTCTGTTTAGTTTAGTTGTTATTTATTTATTTGATATTACATGTAAACATTCAAGCCTGGAGCTTTATTTGTATTTGAGTTAGAACTCATATTTTGTGTCCAAGTGTTGGCTTGGAAAGATGTTAGCCCGTAAGGCATTTAATTTGATGTTACATGTAATGTTTTTCAATAAGAATACACTGATGAATAGAATAACGGTTGGTTTTCTTTTATTAATGCATGTCAATGTTATGTATATTATGGGTTTATTTTGGGGGCGTGACAGGGGATGTACTCCACGGTTTAGGGGGAGATAGGGGATGGACCTCTAAACCAGATGTGTTGGGAGGAGATAAGGGATGGACTCCATAGATAGAGCTCATATGCTTATCTATTAATGTGTTGACAGAGCTCATATGCTTGTCATTGGAAGTGTGATAGTGCTCATATGCATATCCGTGGAAGTGATGATATAGCTTGTATGCTTATCTGTTGTTGTGTGATATAGCTAGTATGCTTATCTAATATGAAATGGGAAGTGTTTGATATGAGTTTCTGTCTCATATGAGTTGTTTGGCCAGGTTCTGAGCCATGGTTGTAAAATTGAGAATTGAAAGGAACTGGAAAATGAATTGTAAAATGGACTTGCATGTCAAGAAATTGTAAAGTGTGATAAGAGAAAGTATCAGTGTTGGCCATCTATCAACTGCTAATCTTTTAGTCATTGTTCATATTTGGTTTAGTATATTTCTACTGGGCTGTGGCTCACCCTATATGGGAATATCATTTTCAGGTACAGGTAGCATGCCACCTCCAACGACATAGCTTGGGAGGCTAGAGGCGGGCACACTCTTGTCGTTTTATTTTTGTTGTATTACATGTAAATTCAAGCCAAGGGCTTAATGTGTAAATGAGTTAGTACTCTTTTGTTGTAACTACGTGTTAACTTGGAAAGCTGTAAGCCTTTAGGGCATTTGCTTTTGTCGTGAACATGTAATACCTTTTGTAATGAAAGAATGTGGAACTTTTACATATCAATGCATGTCTTTATTGATGGGTTTAATGTTGTTATTTTGAGGGCGTTACAGTGTATGTAGGAAGTAGGTGTAATGAAATTTTGTTAGCAAGGTAAAGTTATTTAAGCAAAAAAATTACATGATTAATAGTTTGAACACAAAGAAGTTTATGATACCTTTAACTTCTTGTACCTATAGACCACACCCAGAATATTTAGCAGCTGTCTTTTATATTCATGGATCCGCTTGAACTGTAAGTCAAAGAGGCTATTTGGGTCAATGCTTACACCTGTCACTTGAAATATGAACTGAGCTAATCGCTGCTTGTCAGCCATCTTGGCTGATTCCCACTCAGCTTGGAAGTCTGCATCGTCAGCAAACAATTGGAGAAGAAGGTTCAGTAGTGACATTTATAACCATACAGAAAAATTCACCGACAGATGATTTTTAATATGATCTAAAAATCATCTCTAGTACATACTTTCTGAAGATCTACAAGTAGGTCAAGGTTGGTCACCCATTGATCATTTTTTAACCGTTTGGTGATGATGTGGCTGAGTTCAGGGCTACAAAATCAAAGCCATCTGCGAGGAGTTATACCATTGGTTTTATTCTGGAACTTCTTAGGCCATATAGAGACATAGTCTGCAAATAACTCAGACTTTAAAATGTCACTATGCAACTGGGCAACACCATTCACCTGCAGACAGATGGCCAACGAGAGAAGTCACTTTTTCATTTCCAAATGAAATTGATCAACAAATTATAAGAGGTAGTAAAGGATTAGTGGATCAAGGGCTTAACAAATGAGCAGGACTACGGGCATACGACTAAATAAAGGCAAGGAAGCAATATAACAATAATAGTAGGTCAAGGGGACAACATGATTCAATCAGCAGGATTTTTCAGCTTTTGATAGTATGGTCTATATCTAGTTGGAAATTAAAATTACTGTAGCTCCCAAATCAACATAAAAATTGTAGTTTAACAATAAGAAAAGAAAAAAAAAATCAATATTCAGTACGAAGATGTTCTCAAGAAAACTTATTAATGGTTTAATACAATTTTCTGCTTTTAGCTTTTCAACAACTATCACTCGGTAATTCTCATAAGAGTTTTAGATTATGGGTGTACACAACATAATCTGTTTGTTGATCCACAAAGAAGGGAGCTCATACCGTATGTGAAGACACCACGCATAAATTTGCCATCCGCACAACTGGTTTTTGGGGATTGTTATCCATAATGCGCATGCTGGAAAGCTTACTTTCAAGTTCTGGTTTTGTTGAACGTATCATTGCTATAAACTGCAAGAATTTCATCTTCTTTTTTCAAAAATTGTAAAACAATATACACGCAATAAAGAGAAAAAATAAGACAGGATGGACAAACCCTCTTGTCGATTTCTTCAATGATTTCCATATGGTGAGGAAGAAGTTTCCACATAACAGCTTGCGAACATTTCTCCAGTGCCTCAGGAAGGACAGTATGATTTGTATAAGCAATTGTCCTGGTTTAAATTTCCCTTTTTGTTATTCATTAGCACCAATCATAATTTTGGACTATGAACACATTAAAAGTGGCAGCAGAAAAAATAGGTGCTAAGAAAGAGTAAATGAAGCAAAACAATTAAGAGAAAACGATAACTGCACCTTGTTGTCACATCCCAAGCTTCATCCCATCCAAGTCCTAACATAACTTTTTGTCGCCAATTGCACAACTTTTGGCAACCAAAATATTTTTAGTCGGCAAAAGTGGTCGCCAATTGTGTATTTTCTTGTAGTGTCTTGTGATCATGCATTATTGAACTTTCTCAAGAATTAGTGTTGTGGATACAGGGAGAGATGAGCGAGAGAGATAAAGAGAAGAGAGACAAAGAGAAACGAGAGATGAGAAAGATAGAGAAAAGAGAGATGAGCGAGAGACACAGACAGACAGACAGAGAAGAGTGATGAGTGAGAGAGAGAAAGAGAAGAGAGACAGAGATAGAGACACAGAGAGAAAAAGAGAGACAGATAGATAGAAAGAGAGAGAAAGAGTGATGAGTGAAAGTAAATTTTTTATTTTTCTTTCAGCGACTAAAATATTTTAATTGCCAAAACTATATATACCGCGACCAAACTAATTTTTAGTCGCTGAAATTAAGGTTTTGCCGACCAAACTTTTGGTCGCGAAAGATAAAAAATAATTTTTTATTTTTCTTTCAGCGACGAAAATTTTTAGTTGCGAAAACTATATATACCACGACCAAAATAATTTTTAGTCGCTAAAATTAAAGTTTTGCCGACCAAACTTTTGGTCACGAAATATAAAAAATAATTTTTTATTTTTCTTTCAGCGACTAAAATATTTTAGTTGCCAAAACTATATATACCGCGACCAAACTAATTTTTAGTCGCTGAACTTAAGGTTTTGCCGACCAAACTTTTGGTCGCGAAAGATAA